GTCCAGTTGAGTTTGAGGCCATCCGAGCCAGCCTCGGTCACGATTAAGTCTCCCAGCTGGGGGAGCTCCTCTGAAGAAGGACAGAGAGGTATTTGTCAGTTCTGCAAACCAAAAATGAGGAAACCAAATGTCCCACAGCCCAGCTCTAGGGAAGAAAGAAAGGGGCAAGAGAATTTTGTGTGTGTGTGTGTGTGTGTGTGTGTGTGTGTGGTCATTCTTGGTCTCTGGACATTTCCAATTTGAACTGTGGTAACTTGGCCACAGCTTCCTTCAGGAGTTGAAAGTGATCAGAAAGGGAACATCTGCATCGTTCATCCTTGACATGGCAGTCCCATGAGGACCACTGCACAACCCACCGGGAGGTCTCTGAGCCAGAACGTAAAGGGCAACCAGAAAAGTTGGGATTGTGGGTCAGGGTAAGGGAAGAAGGAATGGTCCAAAGGGCAGGCTTCGGAGGCAGCCGGGTCTTGGTTAGAATTCCAACATTGATATTTGCTAGCTGCGTAATCTTGGGCATGTCACCCAGCTCATCTCTGAGCCTCACTCTCCTCACCTTTAAAAGGAGCTGGCAGTACCATTTCACTGGATTGTGTGATGATTAAATTATACTATTTATAAACCTCTGAGTATCATCCCTGACACATAGTGAGCGCCCAATAAGTGGCAGCCTAACAAATATATCCTTGTTGAGATGTTTCCCCTTGGAAATTCTGGGTGATATTGGAGAGAAGTACCTGCTCCATTTTGTTACGTGGCATGAGAAAGGTCATCTCATTGTCGTCTACATGCTCTCTGACTGCATTTATAAAGCATATGCTGTCTCAGATTTGGACAAGTCTGACGTTTTATCTCTGGACTTTTCTTGCCTTTCAGGGATCAAAGGTTCTGTACTGGATTCTTGGCTTGATTCTTTCCCTCCCACCTTCTTCTGCCAGTACTTTGTGTCTGAATGAAGAATGGCCGCATCATGAAGCAAGGCCATTTGTGGGAGACGAGTGCCCACTTTTAATTAAAAGTGATTATGTTTTGCTCAGTAAATGGTGCAGAGCAGGGCCCACTATTTATTTCTCTACAATGTAGGAAGGAAATTTAATGTAGTTATTATTGTTGATTTAGAAAGTTTGGATTCTGGATATGGAAAAACACACTGCTTAGTGGAACGCTGCTCAGGGTTAAATGCAGCTGTTCAGACTCTCTTTTTAAGGCTGAAGTGGCCATGGATTGGAAATTAGAGAAGAAAATATCTGCAGAGATGTTAGCCAGAAAAGGTGGGAGGTACTTGTTCTCAGGTATCCCAGGATTCAGTGCACTGTGAGAGTCTGAGCAAACCCAGCCTTTCAGAGGAGCTGTATTCAGACTGTGTTCCACATAGACCTGGTGCTTTTGTGGAAGAACTGGGTTGAGGACATGGGTGCAGGCAGCCCCCTCCTTCTTCCCAGCTCACCACGAAGAGCTGTTCATTTATCTGTTGTTTAGTGGGATTCCTTGTAAGATTTCATGTGCAAAAGGAGTTCTGCTGCTAAACATAAAAGTTCACAAACTACAGATGCAGACTTCTGGCGTCTTGCCCCCAGATCACACATGTCTCAAAGGCCCCTTTTTCTCTTGAAGATATTCCAGGAAACACAGGACAATGATAATCTGGCCAGTTTAGGTGAATTGCAACATCACCTTTCTTATTTTTGGAATTGTGTGTAGTTTCTAGCAAGGACCAAATTTATTTGGTGTATATGACCAAGAAAAAGAATTTATTTGAATTTGGTTATGTGCGAGGCATTATCAAAATACAGGACAGGTAGAGAAGGGTATGGGCTTAGGTCCCAGCATAAAAACCCTATTACCAAAATTCTGGCCCATTTGCCCATAGCCTCCTTTAAAGATCTTTCTAGAAACCTCATGGACAGCACAGCGTGTTCTACAACAGATGGAGCAGCATATTTTTGGGGGACAAATTGAGACGAATTGTTTTTCCTCCCCAATTGAATGAAAAACATTGAAGTTGAATGTGTCTGTCTTTTCTTGGAAGCATCCCTGCCTTGAGTGTCTGTTGAGGAGAGAGAGACTTGGATGATTTCAGCAGAAGACAAATTCATTTCAAAGGTTATTCTGTGGAAATTTGACTGCAAGTTGGATGGCAGCTAGTGACTCTGAGGCGGCTCATGATAAGATTTCTCTGCAAAGTTCTGACCTTATGCTTGTGCCACAGCCCTACTGTTTATGCTATTTTTATTATGATATGTTGCTATCTGATCAATTTAGCTATTTGTGGTTTAATATTTACTACAGAATGGGCGCTTTGCTAACCACTTTCATTCGTCATCTCATTTACTGCTCATGAGAGTGTTCTGAGGTAGGGATATGATCTCTGATTTGAAGAGGAGAAAAGAAGGCTGAGAGATACTAAATGACATACCCAAGAATATTCAGCCAATTAGATGGAATTCCAACCCAGACACTCCTCAGTTAGAGCCAGTGTTCATGCTGCTTGTCAACAACGTTGAGCTAGAGCCCTGCCATGTCGAGAATTTTCTCCATTCCAAAGACAGGCTGGCTCAATCATGTCCCTGGTCTGGGAAGAGGGTCATATACCTGTGATGACCTCCACAGCAAGGGGTCGAGTGCGGCGGCCCCCGACCTCGCCGTGCAGGGTGACTGTGTACGGGGTACCAGCCCTGAGGCCTGGGATTTCCACGGAGCGCAGGCTGCCAGGAACTGTGAGACTGTGAGCTTCTTCGGCCTGGTCAGCCTCCTGGACCTCAATGACAAACTGCTCATAGATCCCATCTGGGGTGATCCAGTCCAGTCTGAGGGCATCCCAGCTAACCTCGGCCACTGTGAGGTTTCCCAGATCTGGAACCTCCTCTGCATAAGGACACAGAGTTGCTGAGTTACTAAAAAAGACGATTGCATGCATGCTGGGACTCAGGTGAGATGGCGCTTTGGCTAAGTTGGGATGAGTTGTCTGGTCAGTGTTGATTACAGACGCCTGATTTATGGCAGGTATCGAGCACGCTCTCATTGTTGGCACTAAAGCCACGGCTTTTCCATTCATCCTTTGGGAATGAAAGATAGCCCTAGGAACTGTTCATAACCTCCATTCTTGACATACGAATGGGGCTTTGGGGAGTCCTTTGGTATATTCTTAAAATGAGCTCAGACCAATTCTTTTTTCCACTTGCAAATTGTGCTTTCCAACTTCTTAGATATTATGACTGAAACTTGCTTTGAAAGAAAGTCACCTCTCACTTTTGTCAAGGAAGAGTAGATGGAATTTTCCATGGAATTGGCAACCGTGCTACAACAAGGACTTGGCCAAATAGGGGATATGACATTTGGTTGGACACAGGGATGATTCACCGGTATTCCCCCAGTGTGCTGAACCCAGTTTAGAGCAGGGAAGAGCTTTGATTCCTCCTGAGCAGAGACAACGGGGAGAAGAAAATTAATGAACTAGTCTAGAATACCTGTCAAGACTTCAACAGACAGAGGGGCTGTGCTGAAGTCTCGAGTGACCCCGCAGATGGTGATGCTATAACGAGTGGATGCTTTGAGCCCAGGCAAGTCCACGGACCTCAGTCCTCCTGGGACTGTGAGGTTCTGGGCTGCCTCTACCGTGTCAGTCTCCTGCACCTGAATGAAAAACTGTTCATAGGCTCCTTCCGGAGCAGTCCAGCTGAGCTTGAGGGCGTCCCAGCCCACCTCGGACACCGTGACCTCTCCCAAATTGGGAGCTTCTCCTGGAGAAGGACAAAGAACTAGTTTAATGATCAATTCACACACCAAGGTCCAGGGAATCTTTAACACAAGAACAGACTTTCTATTACTTAAAAAATATGACCTTCTTTAGATAAACATGCAGCATGCAGCTTCCTAAATTTGAGAAATAGAGCAAAGAGGACGAGGATAGGAAAACATTTATCTTATTTTTATGAAAGAATTGCCTTAACCTCCAGCAGAGAAGGAGATTAATTTGGGGATGAATTTTTTTCCTTTTAAATATATGCCTTAACACACCTTACCAGGAGGGAGCCTGTTTGTGAAGCTAAAGGTCACCACCATTGGGGCTGTGCGTATAGTCCCCAGGCTCAGCTCTGCACAACTCCAAAGAGTGTTGTTTACATGGGGTGCAGGGTGAAAGCTGCCTCTGGAATTGTACAGTCTGGTGGCTTCCCATCCTTACACACCATAGCCCTATAACTAGGGGCAGAACTAGTCCATTCCAAAGCGAGTTGCATCTGATTATCTTTGGGCAGTTTCCTGTTGGAAGAAAAACAGAAGCTAGATAGAAAGGTAAGAGATACCTGTGGAGGCCTCAGCAGAGAGCACTGGTGTTCTATAGCCCCGGATCACCCCGTAGATGGTAACTGTATAAGGGGTGGCGGCCTTGAGGCCCGGGATGTCCGCAGCCCGCAGGCTGCCGGGCACCGTGAGGTTCTGGGCCGCCTCCACCCTGTTGGCCTCCTGCACCTGAATGACAAAGTGCTCATAGGCCTGGTCAGCTGCGGTCCAGTTGAGTTTGAGGCCATCCCAGCCAACCTTGGTCACGGTGAGGTTTTCCAGTTCAGGGGCGTGGTCTGAATAATGACAGAGATGGGGTCAGTTAAACCATTCCTCAAAACGCCTTCCTTCTGGGAACCCAGAAATGGCAAATCTGCTGCCAATGCTAAAAGGCCATGGGGGCCTGAGTGCCGTGTTTCGCTCACCACATCCCCCTAGCAGTGCTCACCAGAACACACCAACCAAAAAATCAATATAATACCTCTTTTGCCTTATTGCATATTTGGATTTGTCTTTTGGAAATGCTATTTTCCTATTGACCAGCGTCCTGTGGATTTAGAAAACTCCACACGTCTATGTTAGTAATGCTCTGGGCTTCGGTTTCCACTTTGGAAAGTGTCTGTCATCATGAGGATGAGATCATGAGGAACAGCCTTCGGCCATTCTCCGGATTCTTGGTCTGAGCTGTCCAGCCTTCCGTATTTTTGAGAAAACTGGCTCCTCTTAGATTCCTTTCCTTTTCAGCCTTCCTCAATCTCCTCTGGAAGGTCTGTTTTACAGTCTCTTTATGTCGGGATTTTTGTCGGTTTCCGGGGCTCAAATCGCTTTACATAAACCACTTCAGAAAAATCAGAGATAAATTACACCGTCCAGGTAAGGCTGAATGAAGCATGGCGATGAGTCTTTGCAAAACTGTCCATTACTGGACAGAAAGAAAGACTAAGGCCCCGGGAGAGACAGAGCTTATTAAGCTCAATTAAAATTGAATGCGCCGTCTTCATTCATCTCTTGAACACGCAAAGTACAGTCAAAACATTTGCCTGAATATGCCTTCACAAGGTGATCTTTTGCCCAGGGCTCAGGTTAAATGGACATTGCATGAGCTGGGGAGAAAGGATTTTTCTCTGGAAACAGATCTTGTAAACAACAGAGTAAGAATTGCCCTGAGTTTACTTAAAATAACAAATTGGTTTTCTATTTATGCCTCACGTTGGCTGCATATTTTAAATGACCCTGATGTGTCCATTAAAGCCGGATTCTGACTTGAAAATCTTAGCCTACAATTGGATTGAAGATATCTTTTCAGAGGGGAAAATGTTTCTTTTCAAGAATTTATTTAATTCAAACTTTTCCAAGTACTGGGGAACATTCCTTCCTAATTGTTTCATATTGGCAAAGCTTACACTCCTTCAAATCTTGTTTTTTCTAGAACAGGGGTCAGAAAAATATGATCTGAGGGTCACATCTGGCCCGCTGCCTATTTTGGTAATCAGCTTAGCTGAGCTAACAACAGTTTTTAAATTTTTAAATGGTTGGGAAAAAAAAAATCCAAACAAAAATATAATTCATGACATATGAAAAGACCTGAAATTCAAATTCTGGTGTCATAAATAAAGTTTTATTGGAACACAGCCATGCTTGTTCATTTACCTATTGTTGATGGCTGCTTTGGTGCTGCTAAGGCACAGTTGAGTAGTTGTGACAGAAACCGGATGACCTGAAAATATCTACTATCTGACCCTGTACAAAAATTGTTTGAGATAGCTGATCTTGAACTATACTCTATGTAGTTCATTTAACCCAAATTCATATCCTAAAGTTCACACTCAAAGCCCCATAGCAGTTCTTAACCACACAAACATGGTCTTGATGAGAAAAAGAGGGCCCAACACTCAAAGTGATGTATCTAGTTCCAGGGAAAGAAAGGGAGAATCAGGCTTTCTTAAACCCCTGGCCCTTGTGAGGCCGGGAACAGTGCTCCAAACATAACGATTGTCTCCTTGACTTTGGGATTTGAGCACAGCTAAACTCAGAGCGCGTCCTTTTCCAATATTCCACAGTCCTCATGCATCAAGAGATGCAGGACAAAAACCAATCTAAGCAAATCCGTAAAGTTAAAGAAATTGAGCCATGGCCCATAAACTCCTGTCTCATCCCATTTTTCTCCTCTTGTTGTCAAAACTGCTTGTTAAGAACTTAGCTGACCTTGACAATTTTCCCTTTTATGTGAATTAAGTCACTGTCATTTCCTTCCATGTAACTGCCTTTTAAGCTGTCTCTCTAATTCTGTCTTAAAACATATTTTTTTCCATGAAAGAAATTTCAGGTACCATGTTGCGAAACATGTGAGGAGAGTTACCTAACTGTGGCGGGGAGGAGGTGATTACGGATTGTCTATTAAGCTGTTGCAGTTAAGATGGAGAGAGGAGGGGAGGGGATGCACAATGGAAAATGTCTCTTCCTGATGAGAACCATCTTTTCTCTTTGAATCAGCTTTTTTATATGCCACTGATACTCAACAATGCCCCTCACACCCTGCACCATCTGTTCAAATAGTTGATACAGTAATTTTCACATAATGTCATGTTGCTCAGTAAATAGTCATAATCACGGTGTTGATGCTTCCACCAAAAATTTTGGCTATTCTTCCACTTTTTTTATTTGGTAGGCAAATCAAGACAGATCATCAGTTTATACTTAGCGAGCAGTACTGTGACTGTTTCTAGTAGTAGTGGGTACTATTGATGCTCCACCAAATCTTTTCACCTAAATGCTAGTCAGCTACATAAAAGGTGTAACTTCAATGAAGAAAATCAGTAGACAAATTAAAAGGAGAGGGATAAGAATTATGAAAAGAGAGGGAACAGTATGAATAAAAATACAGCAGATAATAGTCGAGGTGAGAAGCAAGAGGCTTCACATAAACGCAGACTTTACATTTCAATAGCAAAGGGCACACGTATGGGCTTCCTGCCCCGGAAGCCCAGTCTTTCCCTTGTCTAGTTCCACACTGAATTTCTTGGCATTTTTGTATGAAAAGCCTATTGTCTTTTTCTTACAGCTGTGCACTGGCATCTACCCCTGAACAGTGTCAGTGGGCCTGGGAAATCAGAATTTCAAAATCCCATTTCTGTGCTCATGGTGGGTTGACCAGCTGGCCTGGAGGAATTTCTGGCTGTGCCAACTTTAAATCTTTAGATTTCCACCATCTTGTAGATGGTAATTACCAAGTGCTGGCTGATGAGGAATCCACTTTCAGTGCTCGCTGATGGGAGAGAGAGTGAATTTCTCACAGCAGGGGGATGGCCAAATTCAAGCGTGAGGTCCCCAAAGGGTAGCTTAAATTGCTTTAGCTCATCTTGTAAAGTTTAAGATAATTGAAATGAAAAGGCTTGCCTGCCTTAAAACTTTTCAATGACTCTTAACACTGTCAAGTATAAAGCCCAAGACCCTTAGAATGATAATCACTACCCTCTGTAGATGGTCCCTGATGATGTCTCTAACCTCGTACCCTGCTATTTTCCCGCTCCATCATACAGCAGGACCCTATAGCTCGTGTTTCACTAATATAAAGTTTCTCCTGCCTTTGAGCTTCTCACATGCTGTTCCTCCTGCTGGAAATGTCATTACTCCCCTCTCCACTCGCCCAACTCCTTTTCCTGTTTCAGGACTCAGCTAAAGCATCACTTCTTCCCAGAAGCCTTCTCTGACACCCTTCATTCCCTTTGCTCTGGTCTGGAATGGGTACTTGCCCCTGTGCGCCTATAGCTCCCCACCCTTCCCTCTAAAGCAGGCTAGTTGCATTCATATAATTTCGGTGTTGGTTCTCTCTTTCTCATTGCAATGTGCATCATTTCTTGAGAGGAGGGCTATGTCTTTCTATTCTATATACCAGCATTGCCTGACCCATAGCAGGTAAGGAATAAATATTTGTTGGATGGATAAATACCTGAATAAATTTCAGTTTGCTCTATGAGGAAATCAAAATGGTAATCAGAGCAGAACGTTCTTATTACTTGCAGCTGTGTCTAAAAACAAACTTCCACCTTTCTGCTTCCCAAACCCATCAGAATTACTGGGGTATCACTGTTGAGTTTCATGCTGGTATGGAAAGATGCTGTGCTGGCCTTGTGTTTCTACATATCTTCCCTGCTTTATGTCCCTTCCCACTCACAGCAAATTCATGGCCTCCACTTTAAGCACGGTTTCGTTGAGTTTATCAGAATACAAATGCAGAGAGAGAGGGGCGGGGGGCATCTGCCTGGCACATGCTCATTTTCTTCAATGCTAACAGAGATAGTTCCTTCCTTCCTTCCTTCCTTCCTTCTTTCCTTCTTTCCTTCCTTCCTTCCTTCCTTCCTTTCTCCTTCCTTCCTTTCTTCTTTCCTTCCTTTCTCTCTTTCCTTCGTTTATCCCTCCTACCCTTTCTCCCTCCCTCCCACCCTCCTTCCCTTCTTTCTTTCCTTCTTTTTCTATCCAGAGAAAGTTTAATTGAAGACTCCAGGAGAATGATTTCCCTTCCCTTAATCCTTAAGAGAGAGAATTTGGGCTGTTAATGCAGAGGTAGAAGGAGAAAACCAGAGGATTCAATGGAAATACCGCCTCTGGAGTAGCTGGGGTCCTCAAATGCTCACGAAGCACATGCCATATACTTGGCTGTGTTCAAGGCACTGCGGATCCAGCACTGGATAATGGAGACAGAGTGCTTACATTTTGTTCGGTAGTGGGAGGAAGGCCGTAGATAAATAAACCAGCTACTGAATAATATCAGGCCAGAGAAGTGTCATGAGGAACTCTGGAGCAGCATGAAGTGGTAAATTGGGATGGGGACGCCATTTTAGATTGGTGGCCAGAGAAGTCTTTTGAGATAACACTTGGGCTGAATGAAATGAGGGAGATGCCATGTGAAGAACTGGGAGACGAGTGGTATCTAGGCAGCAGGAATAGCATGTGCAAAGGCCCTAAGGTAGGAGCAGGTTTGGCATACTTGAGTAACAGTGAAAAGGCCAGGAAGACCATGATGAAATGAGCAAGGGGACCAGTGGTGGGAGCACGGTCAGAGAGATGGGAAGGGCCAGATTCTGTAGGGCCGTGTAGCCTGTGTAGGGTCTCTGGATTTTATTTCAGGTGTGATGGGCAGCTAGGTTATGCATACTTTTAATTTGCTGCTGCATCAGGGAAAAGCCTGATGCACTTTGGCTCAATTCCGTGTCTAGAGCCCTGGAATTCCCTGGGAAGAATTCTTTGGGGTAGCCAGTTCCACATCTTCTGCATAAAACCCACAGACAATGAGTGGCACTTTGCAGACTTCTGCTCTTAAGAATCTAGTGATGCAGAACCAGGAGTCCCTTTCTTCTGAGGTTGGAACCTACAGCCCTTTCACATTTCAGGCCGCATGGTACATTCACCCAAGAGCTCCCACTTTCCTGTTTCTTTTTTCTTCCCATATGTTTACCAAGGCCAGGTGCCCGCAACTCTATTTCTTTATATATTCCACAACACAGCCCTGTTTGCCTCCTATGTGTCTGTCCAAAAACTCCCTTCCATTTTAAGGCTTTCCTGATGCCCAGAATCATCCTGTGCTCCCACTGCACTCTCTGCACCCCCAATTATAGCGAGTGTGGTGTTGTGTTGGTGTCTGCCAGTTTGTTTACTAGAAAGCGAGTTCCTTGGAAGCACAGATCTGTCCTAACTGATCTAGTAACCCCAGAACTTAGCATGAAATATGGTTGCATATATTACTGACTGTGTAAATGTAGGAGACTTGGGAAGATGGAATTCAGGAGAAGGAAAAAAACATCCACCTCACTTTTAATAAAATAAAATAGTTCTACGGAGAAAGACAGAGAGAGAAATGTTCTGGAGACAATAGGGAAGAGCCAATAAAAGGGGCTTTGCACATTTTTCCTGCAATGAAGAATGGCTTTAAATATACAATGTGATTTCTTTGAAACAGTGTTAAGGAGGCCTGGCTGGGAAATTGAAACCACCGAACCCTTGAGATGCAAAAACTGGGCTCTCAGTCAGAGGAAAAGTAATTCCAGCCTGTGGTCCCAGGCTGCTGAGGCCTGGGGCTTTCCTACTGGAGACAGGAAATAATGGGGCTACAGCCAGAGGGTAAAATGATTGAGTGGAGATGGGAAACATTCTTTGATACAGCATTTGTCAAACTCAAGGAAAAGCGAAGAGAGAGAGAGAAGGACAGAGAAAGAGAAAGAAAGAAGGAAGAGGAGGAGGAGGAAAAGGAGGAGAAGACAGAGGAGGAGGAGGAGAAATTCCCTCTCTTTTGTTTTTCTGATTCATTTGTTGTCCCTTGACACCTTATAACAAGCTCATGTTTACAAAGCTGAAACATTGAAATCTCTACCATAGCTTTATTTCTTCCTGATTCTCTTTTGCCTTTCCCTTATCTCTGATTGAGCTACCCCTTGATGATCATCTGATTGCTGGTGGGAAGCAGTCCATGCACAGTCAATAGAGTTGACCACCCAAGCTCACTTTAGACTCTGAAGAGGCTGCTCTTTGTCTACCAAATATCCCTTCTCGCTCTTTTCCTTTCAAACAACCACAATTTTATGTGGGCAGCAACATGCTCAGCCAGAAGACTACCTTTCCTAGACTTATAGCTAGGAGCGGGCAATGAAATGTGAGTAGAAGTCCTTGGTGAGGTTTCCAGAGAGACTCATCTAGGAGGTACTCCTTTTTGGTTTCAGTTCTTCCTCCTTCATGCTGCCTAGAACACAGATGTGAAGGCTGTACTGCAGCAGCCATATTGTGACACGGGGGTGACTTTGAGAATGGAGGAAGTCAAGGATTAAGAATAGTGGAACAGACTCCATTTCCACTTATTGAGATTCAGCCGGAGGTAACATCTCTGCCGTGATACCTACTCTGGCTGCACCTGATTCCTCCAATCATTCCCTTTCCTTGATTAAGTTCCGTCTAATATGTTGAATATCTAGTCTTCTCCAGGGACTGTGAGCAGGAGCACATGAGTCAAAATAACAACTCTAAGTACATGACCCACTTTCCCCTGAAATATCAGTATACTACAGTGGGTTCTCAACAAACACTTACTAATTAAATTGAAACTAAAAACTATTACTTATCAAACCATGAAGAATTAACATTTTCCACCTATACCTCTCGAATATTTGGGGGCCAAAGTGAAATGTGCATATTTTTCATATAGGAAGAACTGATTTTTTTCTGATTGCTTTTTTCAATTTAGCTACTGAGGAAACATGGCAGCAGGTATAAAGAACAGAATCACGGGGCTAGAAAGGACACTGGAGGTCAGGATTAAGCTGTCATGGAAAAACGAAGTTTGCCCCTCAATGACTAAGAGAAAAGAGAAGATGAGAAGGTCCCTGTGGAAGCTCAAAAGACCGTATGCAACTTTTCTGGTAACCTTAGAGGAAAGAAAAGACCTGTAATAAAAACATTTAATGGGAAATAACCAAAGCATTATTACCAACTTCTTGGTCATCTTGAAAAGAAATAAAATGAAAAGTAAATTAATTGTTAGGCTAAAGAGAGGGGAAGAAAACAAGAAACAATTTAAAAGACTGTGAAATGCACAAAATTAAAAAAAAAAAAAAAAGAGCTAAAGACAAATACGAACTCTGATGCTTTCAGTTCTCCTAGGAAGAAATATTTAAAAACCACTATTGATTGCCCCGCAAGGGAAATTTGCTGAATCAGTTGACAAGAGGAAAGGAAAAGCAAGTGGTTCTTTCAAAGTAGCATTGAGAGGATTCATGAGTAGAGAAAGTCACAGAAAGTCTTCCCAGCCATTTTCTCATTTAAAGAAGACCTGGCTGATGGGTCCACAAACCTCAGTCAGCAGAGGGTCTGCAGGGAGCTCAGAGGCTGACCTCACCTGTGGATGCCTTGACACGTGCGGGCTTGCTCTTGTACCTGCCCTTCTCTGTGGTGAGGAGGATGGGATATTCTTGCCCAGGTTCCAGGCCTCTCAGGACATGGGAGGTAGTGCCTTTGGGAAGCCGCATCTCCACTGGCTGGCCCAAGGGAAGGCTGTAGTTGAGGCGGTAATGGTCAAACTTGGCCAACGGTGTCCTCCAGAGCAGGGTCAGGCTGGTGTCCGTAGTTTCAGAAACCCGAAGATCCCTGGGCGGGTCCAGGTCTGTGAGGAAAACAAAGAGGTGAATTTTCCTCTTTAGGCTGTGAGGCAGGGCTGCTTCTGGAGCTGAAAGCTGGCTCTGGGCTACGATCCTAGGTCTGCTGTACAGGGGAGGTGTGGCTTCATGCGATTCACCTATCCGATTCTCCATTTTCACTTCTGTGAAATGCTGTTGTTGTACATGACCTCGTTGGACTTTTGAAAGATTAAAAATAATATAGTGGGGGCTGGCCCCGTGGCTTAGCGGTTAAGTGCGCGCGCTCGACTACTGGCGGCCCTGGTTTGGATCCCGGGCGCACACCGACGCACTGCTTCTCCGGCCAT